GTAACCAGCCAAATTATGTTGAGTAGTAATCATTAAATTATTTCTCTTTTCTGCTCAAGTTAACAATTTTGTTGTGAAAAACTTACTATGCCAGTCCTATGTTATTTTCCCCCTTTAATGCTAATAAACATTTTGGGGTTTTATTGAATGGTTCAACTATTTGTAATTTAACAATTTGTATCTGTTTTACTTTAGCAGTGATAGTTTTAGATTTTAAAGGGAATAACCCAAGCCTAAACTAAATCACAACTTAGTTGTAATATTGAATTTTAACCCTTTAACTCTCATGAGTGACCAAGACAGAATTTCTCCTTTCAATATCAATACAATTTCAAGAAGACAAGTGATGAGAATAAAGGAAAATCTTAATGAGCGGATTATTAGTTGATTCAATACCAGATTCCTCAAACTAGCATCACAAGAACTATATGGCTGACAGTAAGGAGAATTACTAATGAGATCTTGGGAGTTAAAGGGTTAAGAGAGAATGCCAATACTGGCCAGAACTTCATTTGTGTCATCCTCCTCATGAAAATTTGTTATAATAAAATAAAATTAAAAAAATATATTCCCTGTGTTCAGACTACATAAAATTTATTTTAAAATTTCTGAGCTCTGAGAATTTGAACCTTTTTGATAATTGTATTATTTTATTTTATGAATCTTGATTCACATCAATTGAACAAATTGTAGGCTGGATAAAAGTCATCTTGATTTTCCACATGAACTTGTTGTGTTTCATGGTCCTCATTAAATAGGTCTGCTAAGAACAGGGCTTTCTTCATCAACTCTCTGTTCATAATTGAGCTGGGCTGCTGCGTGGTACTGAAAATTTTCACAAAATGTCATAGTTGATGAACAAAGGAAGCACATACAAGAGGTTGATATGTGTGAAGAGAAGAGAAGTTTGACACATGAGATTGCAGATCAGAGAATTCTCTACCACTTGTGCAGAGTTCTCCAGCTTAATTTCACAAGCTTGGTTCTTTTTTCTTTTAACTAGACTTGGAGAGCATTTTCCCATTTCTTCATTCTATTCTCCTGCTACAATTCTTAATGAAAACCTGTCATAAGATAGCAAACTTAGTCAAGTAGAAACTGGCCTGATTTTATGTTTTTTTCAATCAATGGGATACATTGATACAAACTATTTACTTAATAACCTTCCTAGAACCTGAAAAACTGCAATAAATCATAAATTTGATAGATCAACTCCTGTGATTTGATTCATAGTGTTATTCTCATTTCAGCTTCTGTACATTTTCTTCTGAATTAGTTGTGAGAATTTGGTATTACAGCAAGGTACCACTCTTTGGCTGATGAGTTTGTCTGTTCTCATCTTAAGTTTGCCCAATAATGGCTTGGTATTGTTAGGAGAAGTTAGATGTTTAATCTACTGTGGGATCTGAAGGGTTAGGGGAGTTGTCAATCCTACCTGATCAGTGATGATGTCTTGTTGTCTCAGAAATTTGAAATAGGAGAAAACACACATCATGAAATACACCTAGAAAAAGACAAAGTTCCTGTGTTGTTAAAATCATTATTTCTGAAAAAATATTGAGATTGATTCATCTGTTCGAAAGGCTTGTATTCTTTTATTTTCCAATTATTTGGCCAAATAGAGGAATACAAACAAAACAATTTTCCATTAACAGGTGGGTCTGTCATTCATTTGACTTTTCATTGCAGGAAACTGACTTTTCAGCCTCTAAGAGAACTTGAAGTCATAATTGAGCAAGGGACATGAAATGGTTATGGAAAAAGGCTCAAAGAAAATTTTATTTTTTCTCTGTTTTTGTTGCTGTTGTTTTTGTTTCAAGAAAGCAAAATCAAGTAAATTTTATTTTTGCGGTTCGCTTGAAAAAATTGTGCCGTCAAAAGCTTTCTGGGCTGAACTTTTTTCCCCTTCGTACGTATTAATGAAGTTTTGTTCTACTTACAGCGATGACAAGTGTGATTGCTTCCGATATGTAGACGGAACATTTCAGCTGCAGTAAAACGACAATCAAGTACACTGTCAGATTTCTAAGAGCAATGTCTAACAGCATTTAAGGTCTGAGTAAATCGGGCTTTGAAATATATTGTGAAGGACAGTGACCTGGAAGGTGCGTAAGACAACCTCCTTCAAAGGAAACGAAAGTAACGAAGCTAGAAATGCGTGCTTACCCTACACAGTGCGAAAACCTTCACGTAATTCCCCCCTCTCTCTAGTTAACGCCATGCTGAAGGAAGTTCTTACCACACGCCGGTGGGCTTCGTAAACTGGTTGGAAATTTAATGCTTGCTCTTCCCTTTCCCCCCCCCCACAATTCACGACAACGATTCGTGGTCACTTACCTTGACATCGGAAAGCGCATAAAAAATGATCACAAAGATGGAGGAAAGCTCCTCAATCAAGACCCACACCAACCAGGGACACAGTAGCCACTTCAGGCGCTGAAGACATAGATGAAAATCCGATTAAATCAATTACAACTATCGACATGTCCTAAACCTTAATCGTGAGTGCACGAGGGTCTGTTTCCAAAAACATAATTAGCGCACATTTCCAGGTTTTCTGTCAGTATTTCTCAGTAGAACTTCGGGGGTATTACCAAATGAGAATCCCCCCCTTCAGCTGACATTTTTATAAATTCAAGTACATAATATCACCTTACCAGTAACACGTCTATCAAGTCTCTAATCTATAAAAATTGCCTCTTTTTTCACAATAACGCTTCGTTGTTCATTTATAAATGAATCGAGGCGTGAGCTCGACAAATTGACTTTCATATATTTTTATTCCAAGCAGATGTTATTTACAAATGATATTAGTTTACCACGAACATCTGTTTTCCGAAAGGTCGAATTTGAACTTCAACAGAAGACAAACGTTCGACGCTGAATGCTTTAACTCCCATGAGTGATCAAGACAGGAGTTCTCCTTACAACATTAATACAATACCAAGCAGACGAGTGATGAGAGTGAAGAAAAATATCAATTAGGGGAATATTATTTGATCTAATACCAAATACTCAAAACTGATGTCAAGAGAATTGTATGGCAGACAGTAAGGAGAATTAATGGTGAGATCTTGAGAGTGAAAGGTTTTAAATTAGTCGATAAAACGCGAAATCAGTGAGTAAACCTTAAGTAGGCCAAACATCATCAATAGTGACACTAAAATGGACACCGCTGCCACTGACAACTGAAGGATTGTTATGAGCTGGAGAGCTATAGAGAAATAAATTTGATAAACACAGTTAGTATTTCTCAAAGGTGTACACCAGTAATTTTTCGGTTCATTTCACTGAAGACGTAATGACTCTAAAATGATTCATAAGAACGCGTTTTTTTTCCGGAACTTTGGAAAGTCACTTTGCGTCAACGCCTCAGTAAGTTTTCGACAGAAATATTTCATATTTATGTAGTTTTACACTTAAAGCTTTTCACGTATGATTAAGCTTACATTGTTACTCGAGCAGAGAAACAATTTAATGACTATCGCAGTTAGGGGTACTATTATTAGAATATACGCTGCGTCATAACGCCCAGTGTAAACTGGGACTATCAACAAACGATGTAATATTGTGCAGCCTACTTGTAGCATAGATCAATACTCTGAGTCTGACCATAAATAAACATTCCCTTTGAACACAGCTTCACAGGCGCGTTGAGAAAGGGCCCACCACGCTCTCCCTTTGGCCTATAGCTTGTTACTTGTTTGAGGAAAGAAAACCAAGGTTTGTATTACATGATAACGCTTTTGCAGGTCGCAATTTGTGTCGATTCGTTATACTTTTACCTTATGATTATTTCAGTTTCGTTCCTTGTCGCGCGAAGATGCACAGGAAGTGAAAATTAAACTGCTGAAACTGCGAAAATTTCAACTCCTTATATTAGACATTGTCATTACCTGATTAGCAAGTCCATGGCGCTATTTGTCAGAGCCCACACGAGAGAAATGAAACTCTCATTCAATGAATATAAAACGATTCAAAGAGCACAATGAAAATCGCAATTTTACTCTTAGAGAACTTACTTTTAAAGTTGATACGCAGCTGGTTTCTCGTATCCAATGTCATCCGCTGGCGAAACTTTAGATTAAACTCCTCAAGATAAACTCTTGCCGTCCCGATGAACTACAAGCGAAAAAAACCAACATACATATATCTTAGATTACAGAACCTCTGACGATCCACTCACCCGGAAATAAGCGGTACAAATATAATTCTTTTCTTACCAAGCTGCATAATCCACAGACCCATGATCCTTCGTAGATACTAAAGCAACACAGAAATGTTTTAATGACCATTTTCCCCAATTTTTGGGAAAAACTTAGCTTGTGGTTTGAACGATTCGAGAAAGATGTGTCTCCTTATGTTGATGATATCTGCTTTTCCGTTTTACATTAATTTATTCTTACAATATGGGACTTTCCATCTTAAACCGGCTTCACAACTTTCATTTTCGAGACGTCTACATTGTGTTTGACATTAACAGTTTCGAAACTAACCAAAACTGGTTTTACATGGCATGATGGAAATGGTTGGCAAAAAGAATGTCTCAAATATTTGCTCTGGAACTTGATCATAATGTCAGCCTACCGTGCACTTTTTCCACGAATTAGACGCGGTTGAGTGAAGTCACTTCCGGTCTTATAACTGTTTGCACGCCCATGCCTGCCTATGAAATCTTTCCAAATTTTCCTTACCAATGTCACATGCCTGGTCACAGGGAGACAAACCTGTAGATCTAAGGCCGCGTGACGTCAGCTATTTGATACGCTTAGTATCAAATAATTAGTAAGTTATATAGTTGAACTTCTTACATTGTTTATATATTTGCAACGGTCGATCTCGGCTGCATCTCCGTAGGCTTTAAACGATGGCGGCGATCTCCGCTAGAGGGCCAAGTATACTGAACTCTGCAGCAAAATGCGGTAATCTTAGATTTCGTTTTCAATGGATTGAAAGATTTTCCAAGCCAGTATCGTTTGGATTCTGCAAAAGTGTTCGCTGTTCATCCACAAGGTGAGTGAAGTACTCTAACTCACGTGAATGTCCGTCAATCTTTGCTTGGAGACGCGATTCAATCGCATTCGAGGTTCGATGGTTATGACCGATCTCCTCCCCAACAACTTTTCCTGTTCCATAGCAGGAACAGGGAAGAAGATCTGTGAGGAGGATTGCATTTCAGGGGCTCTCTTTATAGAATAAAAAATTTTTGGTAAAGTTTCCGTACAGCCCCATACTATTGTAAAACAAATCTGTTTTCCTAATGGAAATGTATTGTTTTTGTCACTGTTTTCTCTATTCAAGAACTGAATGCATAATGTAGTATGGGGCTGTGCGGAAATTTTACCAACACTAATTAGGGGAAAAGGCAAAAAATGTCAACAATTTGTCTGCTGCTTATTCGTCTTCACTTTCGCTGTCGGTGTCAAATTCATTCTCTAACTCTTAAAGATCTGTAAAAATTTGTCTAGTTGACGCATGCACATGCAATATTTGCAATGTTTGGCTGGCCTAATCTGTCAGGTATTAAAAAATTTGACAAATTCCCAATTGGGATATTCCAGAGATACACAATAACCATTCCTTACCCCTCACCCCTCATTCTCATAGTAAAAGAAGGGGGGGGGGAAGGGCAGAACCAAAATCAGTAGACACAACCAACCAGAGAAATGAGCCAGAATGACTTGGGCTAACCCACTCAGCCAAGACACAGGAGTTAAGCCATACCAGTTGTCTGGGATCTTGGATCTTGGAGTCATTCTTCAGTGACTTTATCAACAGGACAGGATACTTTTTACACGGAATCATATTTACCCAACCTGCTTTGTGTACCCCTGCTTCTGGTACTCTAAATTCCTTTTTGTCTTAATAGACAGAAATGCACAAGAAACACAACCTGTCCAGTGCAATTTCCCATCAAATGTTAAAAGAAGGGGTACCATTCCCTTCCCTAAGGGTTACCAAACCAGCCCAGCCTTTGAAATTGAACCCTCAGCTATAGCCCTAAACTGTCCAAGAGGATAGCAGTAAAGCTCCCCTGGTTACCAACATGACAATATAACTCCACTTTATCTCAAACAGTTCTCACGAGAAGCTCCAGTTTAGTTATTGTCATGCAATATCTTCAAAACGTTTCATTGGTGAAACAATTGGACAAAGGCTAGATATGACAGTGGAGAAATTCCCAGACCGTGAAGCTTATGTCTGCAGTGAGGACAATGAAAGGGCCACGTTTGCTGAATTCCAGGGAGAGGTAAGAGTTACCCCTTAAGTTAATCCTTGGGAGTGATAAGCATCTAGTTTCTCTTAACAGTATCACCCTTGAATCCAACTTTAAGGTCACAAGAATAAAGGAAATGATTACAAACTCCAAAATCTCTGAATTGTTAGATATATTCTCCTTGTAAGGTAACCATAGGAATGTATAGAGAACAGTATGGAGAATATGCATACTGATAGTAGGGTGTAAAGGGTTACCAAATGAGACAAAACAACTTCAGTAACCATGGGTGATATGTACAGACAAGCTGAGCCTGAAAAACTGAGTCAACTTGATCAAAACAAGGCTCTCTGGTCAAATTTCCTCATGAAATAGTAAAAGTAATGACCATGAAAAGTTTTATTTCATTGTTTGACTTGTTTTGTTTGACTTGACTTTTCCTCTTATGAGCTCCGACTAGAAAAGTTTTTCGACCATGGGTCACTCACCTCAAATGCAAATTAATCTTTATTCATTACTCGTTACTTTATTTATTTTGTAGGTAAACAGTCTTGCTGCTGGACTTCTTGCTATGGGATTCAAGAAAGGTGACCGTGTAGGAATGTGGGGTCCTAACATGAGAGAATGGGTTATCACTCAGTTTGCCACTGCCAAGGCTGGTTTAATATTGGTAAGTGCACTGAGACTAATACTGGCTAATACTGTACTAATACATTTTACTAGGAGTAAGGAAATACTAGCTTGCATTGGATATGATATTCACAAATTCCTGGATACACAGGGCAGATTAATATTAGCTTGAAAATACCAATATTGGGCTGATGTTAGACTTGAACTGCCAGTAATGCAAAATCAAAATTTATGACATTGATTTGGAATGTTTATTTTTGCATTGGTGGGTTAAGATGAGTGAGAATAATTTTCAAGGAATGTACCACATATAACTTGGACCAATATTCCTTTTTTTAAAATCTTTTGACAAAACTCTTATTTTTTTTTGTAGGTAAACATAAACCCTGCTTATCAAACTCCTGAACTTGAGTATGCTTTGAAAAAGGTAAATTTTGAGAATGGCTCATTAGTAAATAACTAATAATCTAAATTTTTTCATTGCAAGATCAACTGGTCTTTGTAACATAATTATTTGCTAAATTTCAGGTTGGCTGTAAAGCAATCATTATGGCTGATAGGTTTAAAACACAAGATTACTACAGCATGTTGACGCACATTGTACATGAACTGCCACAGTCAAAACCAGGCGATCTCTTTAATGAAAGGTCAATCATTTATTTATTTAAAAATTTTTTTAAAATAATAAAAAAAAATAAATGAGGTTTACACTTGTGCTGATGTCTTGTGCTTGTGAAGTAAAGTTTACCAGAGAGACACTGCTAGTCAAGAGATTCAGATCTTACTATTACTTATTAACATTTCTGTGATAATATTTAACAAAATTTATGTTTTCAAAGTTTGAGTTTCAGTGGCCATAGATAGTTAGTCAGTCAAGTTTGTGCATCTTATTGTAGAGATAGAAGGATGATTTGTAAGTATTCAGGTAATTATAACATTGACCAGCTTCCATAATAAGTCTGAAAAGACTTGAAATTCTTCAATATCAATTTTCAGGCCTAGAGAGGCGTGGAATTTTAAAGTAGGTCATGGACAATTATGGAAACAAATGAACTTAATAGTAATTTTATTTTAGAACAATACTACACTTTGCAATGCAGTATGAGATGTGATATCTTTCCTTCTTGTTTAATACTTGGCATTGGTTACAGAGTTTTAATTAATACCTCTACATTACTTGGTATTTTTTTCACAGTTGGTCAATTGGGTTATGTATAAATTAACAAATTTTTTTGTCGATAACAATGTTATCTTTGATTTTCTTTACAGAGTTCCTGATCTTAAGCTGGTTGTTATGGCCAGTAAAGACCATCAAAGGACCTTCAGGTAACAGATGCTTTTATTTGTATTAATACAGCAAGGAAAGGCCAATACCTGTCAACTTGATTATGACTGGACTGTCGTTTCAGTGGTACAATGTCATTTCAAGAGTTGATGGAGATTGGAGGAACAGAAGAGAGAAAAAAGTTGGAGGAGTTAAAGAATGAACTCCAATGTGATGATCCTATCAACATCCAGTTTACGTCAGTAAGTTGCGCTCAAAGAGAGCGAAAGCTAAAGGGGAAGGTTTCTTTGTTTTTTTGTCATTCTTGATAAATCATGACGTTATATCTGTTGGTTAATTTGCAGGGTACAACTGGTAACCCAAAAGGAGCAACTCTGTCTCACCACAATATTCTAAACAATGCATATTATGTGGGAGAAATTTTGGATTATGAGAATCAGGTATGTTTCTTCTTTTTGGCACAATGGCGCATGACAAGGAACTAAAATCATTCCCAGGACCAAAATTCTCATTGTACACACATGTATTTTGTTTAGTACTCCAGAATATGTATTCCTGTTCCACTTTACCACTGTTTTGGGATGGTGCTTGGAAGGTGAGTA